TTTAAGATAAAAAATGGATCCATGAAAATCATACTAATTATTATTTTTTTATTAAAATATGAGAAAAAGCCGACTAATTTGCTTTACAGAGAATCTTCCGCTTGTGATAGTGCGTGTGTAGAGAGAGAGAGAGAGAGAGAGAGAGAGAGAGAGAGAGAGAGAGAGACCTCAGGGAAGAAGCTTTGAACTGATGAAGGCTTGCCCTCGACAGACTTCAAACTCCCTATGTATACACACATACAAGCAATTAATATATATACATATATACATATATATGTAGTTATTTTCTTATATTTATAAACTCAAAAAGGAACAAATGATCCAATCAACTCAAAACTCATCGATACTTCTTCAATGGAAACCCAATTAATAATATATATATATATAGAGAGAGAGAGAGAGAGGGAGAACATACTGGTAACAGGAATTGCAGAAACACAGGCAAGGACACAGGTGAAACCAAGAAAAAGGACGATTAGCCTCACAAAGCCCATTTGATACATAACTTTGCAGTGAAGATTCCAACTATAAATGGAAAGTTTTTCGGGTTCTTTATTTGTAGAGAGAATCTTCAAACACCGAGAAAGAGATCACTGTTTTCCGAATGTTATGAGCTTCTAAGGCATGTATGCCGTAATGTGAATGGGATATACACACATAATGGTGTAGTCCTATATATATACACACACACTTATGGAGAGAGAGAGAGATAATTAAAAGAAAAATAAATATTATATTAATTATAGTATTTTATTTTTGGGTAAAGGGATATATGGATATGAAGAGTTTTGTGTCCGCCCAAAAAGTCAACTCTTCAATTATGTCATTCTCGTGCTATTGTTTCGGTGAGTTCCCACTCAACCTATATTTTCAATTTCCACTTGTCGTTTTCTTAAACAACAAAATCTATTTTTGTGTAAGAAGATAATAACTTGGCCAATCTTTTATTTATTTATATATTTATTTTCTTATATTCGTGATTGGGTTTAATGAAGTTGAAATGTATCCGATAATATATAGAGAGCAAGTGGGGATATTCCAAACTAGAAATATTGTCTGAATATTAATTTACTAAGGTAGTCATCAAACTACAACGCACGCATATATAATTTCCAATTTAATTCACATGTGAAAAGAATTTCAGCAAGAATTTAGTCAAAATCATATGCAAAAAAAAAATGTCATGGCAGGTAAATTCAGATGTACCTTCTCCGGTACTGTATGAGCTTAGGGTTGGACAATATGAACAAAAGATCCTTGGTTAATTTAAGGTTTATATCGGTTTAGTAGCACAAACCATATAACATACGGTTCAATTTCAATTTAATCAAATATTAATGAGGATATCTATACATAATAGGCTATGGATGTACAAAAACTAGAAAAAAATAAGAATATCCATGCATATGTTATGGATATACAAATACTAAAGAGCCACAAATTCGAGTGTGGTTTAAATTGATTGTTCACTTGGGGATGAAGTTGGTTTCAAACCACAGATATAAAAGCTTGGTTGTACGTGAACGATAATACAATTATTAATAGAAAAAAAATATTGGTATGTTTCAAATAACAAATAAAAACAAAAACATAAACCATAAATGGCCAATCATCAATGTCAAAATAAACAAGGATGCCAATGTGATGTAATCAATGAGAAATAATTCTAAGACATCAAAATCCCAAGTCACTCGATGTGAGTAGAGTTCTTCTTCACGTGTTGAAATACATTTACTGCTTTTGCAGCATTATGGACCTTTTGGCTTCAAAATGATAATTTTAGTTGATACTTTATGTATATAATAATTCTTTTCGTTCCCACAAAAAAAACACGAGCCCGATCCGAAAATTGAATGTTAAGAGTTATTCAGATTCGAATTCGATATTTTAAATGCAAAACCCATGAATTCGAATCTGATATCGTTTTTTTTCTAAGTTCAATTACCAATACTTGAATAAATTACGAACTATTCCTAAATTTATCACTCCCTCCGTTTCAAAATATTTGTTGTTTTAGATTGTTTCACATTTTTTAAGAAAATAGATCAAAAATCATATATACCCTTATTTGATGATAAAAACAATGCAATCATTAATAATATTTTGGAATTTGATAGAGATAAAATTGAAAACTATTATAAAAAAATATCTTTAAAATATAAAACTACAAATATTTTGAAACATAAAAAATAACCTAAAACTACAAATATTTTGAAACGGATGAAGTATTATTTAAGATTTTTTTACCCCTAGAATTATTCAGTATGTGTGATTTTACCTTTTTTAGTGAAACCATGTGAAATTGGAGGAATACTATTGTCAGGGAGCCAGAGTTCCGAAGAAGAGAATGAAAAGAAATTCAAATTGAATACATATTATTGAAATAGGAAAATGAATATTTGATTGAATGAAATATTGATTTTAAGATATGATTAGAAATAATAATGGATATAATATTATTTCAAAGTGTATCGATCTTATTTATTTTTATTTTCTTTTTATTTCGTCTCATAGTTTTCCTATAAATATGTGAGTTATTTACATTATAATTCAACAAGAAAAAGAGATAGCAATAAAAATAATTCCGTTTATTTTCATTTGTCTTATTTAGTTTCCGCATTTCAAATTTCTACACATATTTATAGACTTTTAAGAAGAAGAAAAAAAATTCATACAACTTTAGTGAAATCAAATTCAAGTACATTAATAAGATCGTGGGAATCCAACAGAAGAAGAATTTTTTTGTAAACAAAATTGAACGCACCTTTTAAAATATATGAAGAATCTAAGAAACGAGCCTTCAATATTATGCAATGATTATTCAACAAATCAAATCACATGGATGAGTCCAAGAGCGATATCAGTACTGGAAGGTTCTCAAGGGCTATTGTGAAGAGAGCGCCAAGAACAAGCATCAAAACAAACGCAACCAATGTCTTACCAATGTAAACGGGACTCAACCCTTCCTTTGCCTCCGGACTCGAACTCCTCCTTTCCGACTTTGAATCATCCGAACCCTGTATCCCGAAATCCGCCCAAAAAGAAAAGATATCGAGAAATTAGATGAAGCAGTTTAACCATATCGAAACACAAAGTGATCACAGCATCTTAACGCAATAAGCAAGTGCGAGAAGGAAAATCCGGCCATCGTTCATGGCTCAAGTGTGATTTGTAAATTCTACTCCAATAATTGGACTGTATTATATGATATATACTCAAAAGGACCAACTTCATGGCACACAGGAAACAACAGAATAAAGCATTAGCACTGCAAATTATATTACGACAGCATGAATCATACGGAGAAATACCCTCATCTGAAGTAACCAATGGAAGAGGAGAAATTTACCGATGATGCAGAAGGAATTTTCCTTGGTATTTGTAGAGGAACCCCATCGCTGTTCTCAGTTCCTGAATCAAGAAGGTTATGGAAACAATATCATCAAATGACATACCAGCTTACATGTCATACTAAATGGCAAAAACAGAAGGGGTAGAGCTGTAGTGTGCGGCCTGTGAAAACAAAGATTTGTCGACCCTTCATATGATTGCAAAAACAAAGTTCATCAAAGGTTGTCATAAGCTTGGACAGATACCACTATCAAAAACACCACCACTTAGACTATTTTGATGCATCACAATACTTATACAGTCAACACAGACAAAACTATCAGTACCGGGTACCAACTGCTTCGGATTTTCAATCAAAATCTTCTAAAACAATTATCAAATATCACCTCACAGTTGCTCCCCATACATAAGAGTAAGGAGTAAGAAACAGAGAAAACGACACAATACCATAAGCATTACCAGATACTTTTTGAAGTTACTAGCTTTCTTTTTTTCTTTTTGGCATTGGATGTGAATTCTACTGGTTTAGATGATTTCACAGCTATGGAGATACAACTTCAAAAACATTTATAAATCATTAACCTGCTCGAAATGAACCTTCTGTTCACAGATTACCACAAATCAAGCTACTAAACTTGAGCTCTTAAGGCCAACAAAACACATTTTGAACACATGTTGCGTTGTGTTTTCATCAACCGAAACGAAAGCAATTAAGAAATTATACTCGACTGCCCAATGATTTGTACAAAAAACCAAACGTATTCCCAGAATTCGGAATCTCAAAGCGAAGAGGCAAGCATTTACCAGGATGATTCGCATCGTTTACAGCATTTAACTTCCAATCATGCCCATAATCCACAAGATCCGCATGCGGACCAAAACTGATCGGTTCTTCGCCTTCTTTGACCGCTTCGATGTAAATCACACGAGGATTCACTAAACCCAGTTTCCTGTTGATCAAAGCGACAGCGAATTCCGCCTTTGTTCCAGACGCAAATCGGTAGTTCTTACCAGAAATTTTGCAGGAGACCTCCGCAAACTGATCAGATTTGATGTAAGAAGGGATCAAGAAGTCCGAAACTTTTTATATCCAGACATCATTGATCGCAATTGCAAAGAATTACAGTAACACAAAGGAGCTAGGGAAGCATACCGGAGGTGGCGATGGCGGAGAAGCGGTGATTGAGGCTTCTTCCGCCATGGAAGAGGTCGACGCGGAGCTCGGCGAGGAAAGCTTTGGCTCTTCTTGAGATTTTGACTTTGTCGACTGTCACTTCTTTTTATTTCCGTCATATTTATTATATTCTCTTCCCACATGTAAATATCTAAATAATTATTAAAATAACTTATACTCCGTCACACAAAAAAAATCTGATTATACGATATTTTAATACCCAGGTCAATGATCTTATAACGAAATACTTAAGAGATATGCGAATAGACTATCCGAAATTTGAATATTCTATCTTATATATTGAAATAATAAATACATCGAAAAAGCTCGGATATCCATTCTGTATCCAAAAAAAAAAAGTAGAAACATAATTACAAAGGCAACAAGCTTTCACTAAATCATAGAAGATCATATTACAGCATATAATCTTTCACAACAACAAATTTAATTTTTACATATTATATGTTACATTATTACCAAATACTATCTTCTTCCTCCTCGTCCTCCTCCATGGACGAACCTTGATTCTTGAATCTCCATAACCCAACTTAAAAACGGTTAAAGAACAGAGATCGTCGTAGGCGAGTGATGGCGATGATCTTTCCCGAGTCTCAGGCCAACGCATCTCCCGTGTCGCGGTATATCTCCTCGGCATGAGCTGTCGGAACGTAAACAGCGCCGGGCAATGAGCTGTGCCTTCGGCCGTAGAAGAAGTAGACGAGAACTCCGATCAGCAGCCACACCGACACACGAGCCCACGGCCCTCCTCTGTTTCAGATTAAACCCCCAACACAACGAGAAATGTATAATGTCACGTTCCCTGTTTCCATAACATTCACGAATCTAATCTAACACAACATTATATATGAAACCTGATGACCTCTCTGATGGATATTTAGCTTTAACCATTCGGGTTTCTCATAGCCGATACAGAGGACAGCGTTGGAGGAACGGTAACGGAAACTCACTCACCCGAGATTAATCAAAAGGTAAGCATCGATGAGAATGGAGACGATAGGCAGGAGAGGGACAAACGGGCAGATGAAGCCTGTTTAACCCAAAAAAACGGAATTATGTCAATCGCTTCACGAGTTTAAACGCTATAACGGTCGGTCGTGCATTGAACGGAATTCGATGGAGAGATATTGGATGTTATACCAATTTAAAAAGAAACATTTACCTCCGGAATGCCCGAAACTGTGCCTTGCATCATCCTGATCTATCAAAGTCAGCACAATCAAACCTGCGAGAAGGAGAAGTCCACCAACACCACACAGAGAATACCGGAGAAGCCTGCGAATCACATTCAAGGAAAAAAAAGATACGTTCTTGAAACCTAAACGACGTTGTTTTTGGTGCATGAACAGAGATGAGAGGACGGACAGGTATATAGATAAAAGTTACGAAATGATCAGTAAAGACATTTAAGAGTATGAAGCATAGAACTAACCCAACGAATTGCAAACTCGATGCGGCGTAACTTATAAGGAAGGCCCCAATTACAGTGAACATAATGCTCCATCCTGCAACTTTCCTTCTGTTCTCTTCACTTAGAGCCCCTGCATAATCAGAAGATCAAAGATGAAAAATATTGCCAAAAAAAAACCCTGTAATTATCATCAACATATGCTAAATCTCGCATCAGCGGTAACTTACAACACCCTTGAGATTCTTGTTTCTCCATCACGGGATAATCGACTGAAGCATCGGGTTTGGAAAGTAAAGGCTGCTTGCTGCCACGGGACGTGCCAAGGTTGTCGGAAGATGAATTCTCCCCATTAGATTTAAAGGAAACAGAATCGATCTTCTCCTGAAGTGATGAGGGGAGAGGTACTTCATCCGGTGGAACATATCTGAGTATCAAAACAGATATTGCCACCATCGTGAACGCCATTAGTGTACCAACGCTCACCTGCACCATGAACATAGCTTGTGTTGCAGTGTGTGTCTACTGGAACTACAAGGAATATTCAAACCCTCGTGAAAGTAATTTCCTTTGATCAATTCTCTGATTTAACCGGAAAACTTCTCCTTTTATAGAAGATACAAAAAATAAGAATAACAGTGGCTTACCATGCCTGCCAACTGTGAAACGTCCATGAAGAACGCCAATGTTGCGGCACAAATACCAGTTGCCACCGTCCCTTTAACAGGAACCTGAGTGCTTTTGTTAACTTCGGAGAAAATCGGAGGCAGCAGGCCGTCCCTAGCCATTGCCATTAAAATTCGAGGCTGAAAATGTAAAACACAGTTGCATTGAGGTCGTGGTAGTGATTACAGTTCACGAACATGACTTAACATTGGCATTAGACCAGAAAGGTATCCAAACACCAACCGAAAAAGTATTTTTTTTTCCGAACAAATTATCGGTAAATGTTAACCCGGAAGATCTTGATGCATTACTCTACCTATCAGTATACATGCTTCATAGTTTACCTGTGGTAGAAGCGAACCCATCAGTGTCGAGCAAAGAGCCATGACAGCTCCAACCGTTATCACGAATCTACATTTCAAGGGAGGAAACGAAATCAGTCTCGTGCAATTCTGTAGCAACAGAAATTAAAAGGAATGAATGAACAAACATGTACTTACGCAGCCCATTGCATTCCATGACTTGAAAATGCAGAAGATATCGGAGTGTCAGGATCCATGGCATAGTAAGGAACTAAACCGACAATAACAACAGAGACCATCATGTAGAGAGAGCAGCAAAGGAAGAGCGCAAGACCAATACCGAGCGGTAAATCACGTTGGGGATTTTTCACCTGCCACAGAAGTGGGGAACAATCTATGTAAGCTAAAGGTTCTCAAACAAAGACGACAACATGAAAAGTAATGCAGAAATTGAAGAGTGGTGGAACGAGACCTCCTCAGCAGTGCTGGCAACTGAATCAAACCCGATATAGGCAAAGAAGACAGTTGCAGACCCGGCAAGCATCCCATCCACCCCAAATGGGAAGTACCTGAGAATCGATAAGGGTATTTTTCAAACAGAGTCTATCTTATAATATGAACATCGGCCACGACATCCTGGACTCTCTCATCTTACCCTGTTGGAAGTTCATAACCAACCCAACCGGTCTTGAACCCGAGGTAACAGCCAGCTACTATGACAAATAGCATGACACACACATTGGCTGTTGTTACAATTCCTTGAGCAAATGTGCTCTGCACCAAAGAGATGCTTTCTTTTAATTTTAAAAAATTATTAACCATGACATTAAATTTTCTCTTAACAGGGGAATCAAGAACATATGAAGGATGTACCTCCTTTATTCCAAGACACAAGAGCCCAGTAACAACAAAGACTAGACAATTGTTACTTAAATCTCGCGTTTGGAAGTTATGGGCTTTTAGGTGTTTTTGTTCATCGCCTGTAGGCTGCAGTTCGCTCTTTCAGATAAAAGTTTTAAGCTCCTGGTTTAAAGATTGTTTCTTTATTATTATATTTCTTTGGGATAATATTACTCAGCTTTTTTAGTTGAAGTTTTTATACTATTCCTTGGCTTCTTTTTATACTAAGTGTTTGGGTTTTCTCACAATATTAGGTGTTGGAGCAACAATTGGAGCCGGAGTCTATATTCTTGTCGGAACAGTGGCAAGAGAGCACTCAGGACCGGCTCTCACATTTTCGTTTCTGATAGCCGGGATTGCTGCAGCTCTCTCTGCCTTTTGCTATGCCGAGCTCTCTAGCCGTTGCCCCTCGGCGGGCAGTGCTTATCACTACTTGGGGGATATGCCACGGGCAACAGCTGAACCACCAATCGTGTATTCCAGAATCAGCGCCCAGCCAATCAACCACGCAACACTGCCACAATAAAACACCCCCAGAGTTCATAAATGAGTAAACTTTAAATAGAAAGATGCACCATTCCAAACCCATCAACTTATATAAAAACTGCAAATCCAAGCCCTAAGGAAT